CAAGCACCAGTCAATCGTGACAAGAAGCCATACATCAAAAAACCTCCTAATGCCTTCATGCTGTACAAGGCTGAGCAGAGGGAGATTATTATGCAACAATTTAATATCACAAATTCGGCGGACGTGAACAAAATTGCTGGGGCGAGATGGACAATGCTCTCAGACAATGAACAAGCCCCATATTTCGAGCAGGCAAGAGTGGCTAAGAGGGAGCAAGAGGCCAAGTTCCCAGGGTGGTACGCCAGTGATAACTTTGGGCAGAAGAAACAGAAAAGCAACGCAACAACACCTGCAGTTTACACCCACCCCGCAGCTTCAGCAGGTCCCGCTCAGCCTTTATGGAACTACCGTGCTATGATGGTACCGCTGGGTTATGATCGAACAGTCCCGCAAATGACTGGATATACCAACCCAACAACAGTTCCCACAGCTCCCTTTCGGACCATGTACTACAACCCAGAAATGATGGTGGGTCCGACCTACCAGCCAACAAATATGAAATAAACAAGTACACGAAGAAGCAAAGGAGGCAAGGACATGTGATGAACATGTTATGTTGTAAATAAAAGTTTTCTGTCAATCAGTCATTGTGTAAATTGATGTATTTTTACCCAAGATCCAGACCAGTCATTAATAAAAAAAAAAAATAAATAATAAATAATAATAATAATAATAATAATAATAATAATAATATAATAATATATAATACAATGTCTCTGTTAGTGTACATACTTATTTATTGTCTGTAGAACAAGCAGCAACAACACTGATGCTGTCAAGAAGCCATAGATCAACACGCACAAACACACACAGACATGCACACAGACACACACACGCACACACACACACAACACACACACACACACACACACACACAACAACACACACACACACACAGAATATGCACATAACACACACACACACACAGGATACACACAACAACACACACAGAACACACACAGAGAAGACACACAGAGAACACACACACAGGACACACACACAGAACACACACACAAAATACACACAGAATACGCACACAGAATACACACAGAACTCACACAAGAACACACATAGAACACACACAACAACCCACAGACACACACAGAACACACACAAACCACATACAGAACTCACACACAGAAGACACACAAGAACAGACACAAGAACACACATAGAATGCACACACACATAGAACACACACAGGACATACACACAGAACAGACACAGAACACACACACAGAACACACACGGACACACACATAACACACACAGAACACACACGCAGGACACACACAGAACACACAAAACACACACAGACCACACACAGGACACATCAGAACATTCACACTGTTACGAGTTTTGTTTCGGTTTTGATCATGTTCTAACATTGCTCTGTCGTCAGAAACGTGCCTGAAGAGTTTTAACGTGTCATGCTCCTGGGCCACAGTCGCTCAGCTGGACCAGTGTTTGTCCACTCATCCCAAGGTTGGTGATCCCAAGGCTGTGTCTTTGGGCAAGGCACTTAACCCACTTCACCCTCAGTGTCTGGTACACTGGTGTATGAATGTGTGTGAGAATGATGATGAGGATGATGATTTTAAGGTGCTGAGAGAATTTTTATTTTTTATCCATCCATCCATTTTCGTCCGCTTATCCGGGGCCGGGTCGCGGGGGGAGCAGCCTAAGCAGGGACTCCCAGACTTCCTTCACCCCAGACACGTCCTCCAGCTCCTCCGGGGGGACCCCGAGGCGTTCCCAGGCCAGCCGAGAGACATAGTCCCTCCAGCCTGTCCTGGGTCTTCCCCGGGGCCTCCTCCCGGCGGGACATGCCCGGAACACCTCCCGAGGGAGGCGCCCAGGAGGCATCCGGAACAGATGCCCGCACCACCTCAACTGGCTCCTCTCGACGTGGAGGAGCAGCGGCTCTACTCCGAGCTCCTCCCGTGTGACTGAGCTCCTCACCCTATCTCTAAGGGAGCGCCCAGCCACCCTGCGGAGGAAACTCATTTCGAGCGCTTGTATCCGCGATCTCGTCCTTTCGGTCACTACCCAGAGCTCATGACCATAGGTGAGAGTAGGAACGAAGACTGACCGGTAAATCAAGAGCTTCGCCTTTCGACTCAGCTCCTCTTCACCACAACGGTCCGATACAGCGACCGCATCACTGCCGAAGCTGCACCGATCCGCCTGTCAATCTCACGTTCCGTCCTTCCCTCACTCGTGAACAAGACCCCGAGATACTTGAACTCCTCCACTTGAGGCAAAGACTCCCCACCCACCCGGAGAGGGCAAGCCACCTTTTTCCGGTCGAGAACCATGGCCTCGGACTTGGAAGAGCTGATCTTCATCCCAGCCGCTTCACACTCGGCTGCAAACCGCCCCAGTGCACATTGCAGGTCCTGGCTCGATGAAGCCAACAGAACAACATCGTCCGCAAACAGCAGAGATGAAATCCTGTGGTCCCCGAACCGGACCCCCTCCGGCCCCTGACTGCGCCTAGAAATTCTGTAAACTCTAATTTAAGGGACAGTGCAGATTAATGAACATCTACAACACTGCAGTGTCAGTGTGCCAGATTACAGCAAAGATGCTCTTTTCCATGTGTAGGATTGAATGAGGATACAGAACTGTAGGATGCTCCGGTCATTATAAAGATATTCTCTTTGTATGTTTGATTCTATGAACTATGACATCAACCTGCCCAAGGACGACAAGTGGAAACCTGCTACAACCTCCTACAATAAAATAAAGTAAATGGGTTGTTGTAAAGTGGAAAAACGCTATTTAAAAATGTGTGTCTGTGTGTGTGTATGTAGGGTGTGTGTGTGTGTGTGTGTGTGTGTGTGTGTGTGTGTGTGTGTGTGTGTGTGTGTGTGTGTGTGTGTGGGGGTGTGGGTGTGTGTGTGTGTGTGTGTGTGTGTAGATGTTTACCATTTATCATCCATGCATGTTTAAGTAATCTAGTGATCTCTCCCAGACTCCCACATGACAATTCTCCAAGAATATAGATACTGTGCTCTGCAGCTTTAGAAACCTGATGTGATGTGCAGTACTTTCATTGGTGGGCTGCACGCTGACTGTACTGTGATCTCGCTCTGAAGAGGGAGTGACTCTACAGATGTTAAGTGTTAAGAAGTGAAATACCCCTCTTTAACCTGAGCCTGCTTGTTTGTTTTTTTTGTTTAGTTAATACCCCAACAAATGCCAGTGACAATACAGAAGTGGTTTAATCTGATCGTATTACTGGCTCTTCCCCATGTGTGACTTAAAGGTGCATTGTGTATCTTTACTGGTTGAAGGCTCATCATCTGCTTGTTTCTATGGAGATGTCATTGCTCATCCTGGAATGTTCCACAGTGTGACATTAAACAGCTCTACTTTACATGTATTCAATTACAAGCGGTTTTATAGCTCAAAAATATCTACAAAACATTCTGACTGTGAGTGGGGTCGCCTCTCCATAGATCTGAACTGTAACTTGATCTGGGTTGGTTAAATGCCAGAGTGCAGAGGTGTAAGTGTATGTGTGTGTAAGCTGAGCCTGTGTGATAACACAAGCACCTGTTTAAGTGGACACAGTCTGGTCTCCACGACGACAGCTGGAATCTGCCCCGTTACATAAGCAGGCTCTCACTCACAGGCCTGAGAACACTGCAGCTCACACTACATCGAGTCATCACAATAAGAATACAATAGAAAGACTGCAAATATATCAGAGAAGTACTATACATATTATGCCATTCATAGATTAAGTATGTAAGATTTTGATTTTAAATTCCATAAATGACCTACCTGTGTCTTCAAATAAAAAAATTTTTTTTAAAAGTTCAAATCAAATTTAGTTTTACTGATAATAATTGTAATGCTGATTTATTAATGACAAAAGCATACAATGGCCATGTTTTGATTTAGTGTTTATAATTGAGTCTCTCATTTGGGTTGCCAGTTATAATGCTGAAATCCAGTTGGTTTAAATCATAGACTGTTTATATAAATGCACATAACTGATGCACGAGCCACTGTGTTCCAATAGGACGTTTGCATGCAGCACTTCCAGCTCGTCCTGACTCTGGCTCCCGTCAACTTACATTGGAATATAGTGTCTCCTCTTTCTGTACCTGCTGCTGTGAGCCTCGTCATTTTGGTCTTAAAATGTTCGTATTAACTCGCTCTACGTGATCCTGGGGTTTTTATTTTGTGATTGTGTCTGTTATTTAGAGCCATATTCATAATCCACTGGCCTGGCAAGCTTCATTTAAGTGGAACCAAACACTGTGGGTGACGGCACACTTACTTACTCCACTTCTTTATACAGTCTATGATTTAAACCTAAAAGTCCTCTCTCTGATGTGAAGGGTCACTAAACCCCAGCACCTGCACCAGTCATGAGTCAGTGCTAGTGCAGCCTCTGCAGCTCAGGGAGGGAGCTCTGGAGGTTCTGAGCATGAGGCCTGGTCTGTCTCTATCTGCAGGTGAAGGCTCTGGAGACGCAGGTTCAGTTGTGACTGTAGTACTTAAAAAACAAACTGTAAGAGCACAGGCTACAGAAGGTTTTTTTTTTTTTTTAAATCTAATTCCAAGTCTGATTCATTCAAGATTTAACTATAAAAAAGGTTCATTGATTTATTTTACTCAAAATAAATCCCCTCCGTATATTTTTACTATCTAATAAAATGAAGCAAGAAATGTACATTAGCTCCAAATATTTAAAAGATTCCTATGTCAATTTAGTCCGTTTTTACTAATATTTTTAATATAAAAACGTCACATGATGAAAAATACATTTTGTATTACATTTATGTAAAACTAAACTACAGCTGAGGTTTCAAACTGATATGTATCTCTGAATGTATTTTTTCCTCTTCACCTGCCGTGTTTAGCCTTAAAAAGAAATCTACACTATCACTGTGTTCCAACCATGTCCCAGACCCCAGACTCTTCTGTTTCCAGACACTTTCACACAGCCATTTACCATAAAAGAAAAACATAACACAAGAGCGTTTTGAATCAAATCTGTTTAGTCTATAAAAGTGTCCATCATACACACACTGTGGTGGCAAGAACTCTCCAAATGTTCACATAAATAACAGGTGCAATTTTACAAAACAAAACACACAAATGTGAGATTTGAGCCAGCTACCAATGTCCAGCACTTGGTAATACTTTTTCATAACAGCGGAAAACACAGTTATTTGTTAATATGGCACAATACTTGGCTGGTATTAGATTGGCCTGTAGTGGCTGCTGAGTCGTTTTATTCGTGTATAGGACATGTTCACGTGTCATCACAATATTCTACAATCTCTATAGTTTAAACAGAGCTGAAGACAGGTCAGAGTTCTCAGGTGAAGTTACGTAACTGTCAGATTGCAGATTTGTAGATCTGGTTTATCTGGCTCTTGAGTATTGGTTTTGGTTCCTCTCCCCACTGTGAGTAAGTCTACTAGTGACAAAAGCTTTATGTTGACAAATTAAAATGATTTCATTATTTGTTTCTTGTAGCTCCTTCAGATGTGATTTAGTTTGTCTCATTTTTGTGTCTATACTTTGAAAATACTAGATTTTGTGCATTATTTAATGTTTTGTCCTTCAAATTACATTCACTTCAAATTATAAATCAAATGTGCTGTACTGAGTTACTATTTTACTTTTACATGACAAATACTTTTTTACTCTTACTTGAGTCGTTTCGTGGACAACTATTTCGTACTTCTAAGTGAGTATTTTGAAGTAACATTACTTGGGTATAATATCTGGCAACTCTACCCACCTCTGTTAATATGACAAGTTTGTAGACTTTATCTTAAACAAACAAGGATCAGGTTCAGCATTTGCGCATCAGAAGTTATCAGAGATTTCTTTCATTAACAATAAATCTCCCATAGAGTTCTACAGACTCTGCCGTCCGTCTGAAACTATGAAATCATCGAGTCGTAGAACGTGAACACGTGAACACAGCCTACGTTTCCTCATTTTGGCCCCACATTTGACAGTGGTTTTGTCAGTCTGTTAGTGACCGCAGACTGCACGCATGACCACAGCTGACCACAGGGTTAAGGCATCTGCTAACACTGGCTCTCATGTCCAAACAGTGGAATCCTTGGCTCAAAGTTCAGACTCATAGGAAAACAGCAGCAGTGGTTCTCAACATGTGGTGCACAAACTTACACTGCAAAAAACAAACACCTTCAAAGCCCTGTACCTGGTTTCTTTTACTGTGGATTTGAGCAATTATTTGTAAATATATAGTAAAAAATCTGCTCCTTAAGTCACAGTAAGTCCGCTGTGTGCTGTCTGCATCCAATTATAAGTGTTTTAATGTCTGATAATGAGGAAGTGCTCATTAGCATGCTGCTTGTTGTTAGCTTTACCACTTAAAATGAAATAGTTCTCTTTTGCACGTTGTAAGATGGTAAAAATCAGGTACAATGCCTCTGAAATGTTCAGATGATTTAAATCAAATGATGTGAGATTCTTTGGGAAGTAGTAGAAGTAATATTACTATTTGAAAATGTACATAGCTATATGTAAAATACTTATTACATATATGTTCACATAAATGTTGTTTAAAACAACATTTTTGAGTGAAGTTACAAAAATGAACAAAAACTACAACTCAGATCATTATTCTAAATCCAAGTCATTTAAATTTGAGACGTTCCTTTTTTGCAGTGTATTGCTTTACGGCAAATATTATATTTGAAGACATTTTGCCCAGTTTTAGTTTTGAATTGTGCTTAAACAAAATCATTTGTAGTCAACACCATCACCAGCTGCTTCCTATCTTCTGCGCTGGTGAAGATCTGAGCACCACTGGCTTCAGCAGAAACATCTCACAAGCCCCTCAGCTCCTGCTCAGTTCATCTCCTCGTGATGCACAAAGAGCCTGCTGTTAAAGCCCGGGCATCTGGGTGTGGATCAGCTGCCCGGACCCTGTGTCCAAAACAACATCCCACAGTCATTAGTGCCGCCTGGGCAGAGTGTAACGGCCGGGATGCAGGGAGCTGGAGTGTGCTCTGTCCATACATGTCCACACAGAGGCCTACTCAGCATGTCGGCCTACTCAGCATGTCGGCCTACTCAGCATGTCGGCCTACTCAGCATGTCGTCCTACCGCTAGACTCATGTTAGACTATAAAGTTAGACCAATCTCATTTAGTGCTGGTTAGGGCTGTCAGAAGTATTGAACCTCCAGTACTAATCAATACTAAAATTAATATAAAACTAGATATTTATTTAAAAAAAAAAAAAAATAATCACATTATCAGGACAAAATTTGAGCTTTATCACAACTACTATACAACCTCATGTTAAGATAAAAACAGTATATTTTGTATGAAAATTACATTTTCATCATGGCATCATAATCGGCATCAAGTATTGAATCAGATCTGAAATATATATTTTAGTATCGTGACAACACTAGCACTGGGATCAATTTTAGCCTACTCTATGAGCTTACTTGGCATTCCACAGTAGTGTTAGGCCTACTGTACTGAAGTACTCGTAAGAACTGGCCTTAAAGTGTAGTCAACAAAGCCTCATGTGGCCTCATGGCAGATGAGTACCTATGTAATTATGTAGTTATTAACCTACTAATTAGCTAATTGAGAAAAAAATACATAAATAAAATAAATACCTTACAAGAAATTAAAAGGTTATTAACTATAAGCCAAACTATAAACCAGATCAAGTTAATAGAATTAGGCCTACTTTGGAAGCTCAGAATTGTGACAAAAACAGCCTAGCAACAGGGCTAAAAAAAAACATTAAAAAAAAAAAAAAACATGCCAAGTTTAAACGCAAAGTCATTTTGCCCTGTAAGCAGTTCCTAGTTTTAGTAAGCCCACTTAACGGTGTTGATGTTTCCTTGGTAACCGTCTTCACTAAACTTGATGGCCGGGCTAAGAGTAGGCCGTGCATTTAGCCTATTTTAACAGACAGGGCTGTGTTTGTGGTCCAGGCCGGTCTCAGTAGAACCATGTCCAGGTCACATCAACACACAGCACTTCACTAATTGTTTTTTTTAATATCTCAAATCAAATGACTTGATAGTAGTAGTAGTAGCATCAAAATAGTTTAGCAACAAGGGCTAAAAAAACATGCCAAGTTTGAACGCAAAGTAATTTTGTCCTGTAAGTAGTTCCTAGTGTTAAAGGTTGGTCACTTCATAAGCCCACTTCACTGTGTTGACGTTTCCTTGGTAACCGTCTTCACCAAACTTGCTGGCAAGGCTCAGAGTAGGCCTACCATTTGGCCTGTGTTTACACACGGGGCTGGAGTGTGTCCGGTCCCGTCTCAGTAGAACCATGTCCAGGTTCCTCAGTGAAGCTCACATCAGCACACAGCACTTGACGCACTCCCGCTGTGGCGTGGCCTTCTTCTGCAGTGCCGCCCGTGTGGCCGTCTCGAAAACTTCCCAGATGCCCTCCTTAGTTTTGGCTGAACATTCCAGATAGTCATAGGCCCCGATGCGTGCCGCCATGGCACGTCCGTCATCGGGTTTCACCGGCCTCTTCACGTCCTCGTCGTGTCGAAGGTCCTTCTTGTTGGCCACTAAGATGATGGGCACATTGGGACAGAAGTGCTTCACCTAAAAAAATAATGAGAAAAGAATAATGAGGAAAGTTATGTCTTAGTTGTAGGGTCTATATTAAGCTTTTAAAAATGTGTTAATGTTGATTTCTTATTAAAATCAGACCTGGAGATGTGTTTCATTCACACATACTTAGAAACACAACCCTGCACATTTAGGCTGAGTTAGGTCCTCAAACTGAAAACAATCTGTTCCACCAAGTGATGTTATTAAAATGGTGATACAGGAACTGTCCTGTACAGTTTTTTTTCTTGTTTGTTTGTTTTTTACTTTTTTTCATAATACACTGATGTGCAATTTTCTCATGCCACTTTTAATAAATTAACTTGAAATGGGAAAATATATATATATTCAAATCTGTAAAAATATCATAAAACAACACTCTTTAGATTTAAAGGTGAACATTTTACACAATTACTTGGATAAGGTGACATAATTATATGTATGTTAATATGTTTAAAACAATATTAAATTTTTTGACAGATGTAACTAAATTAACCTATTTAAACTATTACTCAAATTATTATTTGAAAAGCAAGTCATTTAAATTTGTTACAAGTTATTTTGGCTGTGTATTGCTTTCCGGTGAATAATAATCTATTGACATTTTTGCGCAGTTTTGAATCATGCTTCAGTCCATTAGAAAAAAAAAAAAAAGAATAAATTAAAAGTGCTTCACCTCGGGCACCCACTTCTCCGGGATGTTCTCCAGCGAGTCCGGGCTGTCCACGGAGAAGCACATGAGGATGACATCGGTGTCTGGGTAGGACAATGGCCGCAGCCGGTCGTAGTCTTCCTGCCCGGCTGTGTCCCAGAGCGCCAGCTGGACTTGCTTGTTGTCCACCTCGATGTCCGCTACGTACGTCTCGAATACCGTGGGAACGTAGACCTCCGGGAACTCGTCTTTGCTGAACACAATGAGCAGACATGTCTTCCCGCACGCCCCGTCTCCCACCACCACAAGTTTCTTTCGAATGTCCGCCATTCGTGCGTCCTCGGCTGTCCCACCACCGCTGGCTCGCTTGTACCATCCAAGACGCGGCCGTTACGCACACGACGCAATACTTTGGTAGGCCGAAAACGTCTCAGGACTTTTTGTACCGTAAAGTCGAGCGTTTCTCCAAGCGGCAAGCCCTTTCCAGTCAGCGAGTCGGCCTCTTTATAAAGCGCACATAGTTTCCTAAATATAGCGATCCAATGGGCAGCGGGGAGGTGAGCTCACTGCGGCTGAGGAGCGCGCTGATTGGAGCCGAGCGGGATTTTCCCAAAGCAAAGGAGGGACCAGCGCCACGAGGACCCATCCCGACGAGGGGCCCCCGGACTCACATGCAGTCACCCCAAACTGGCGTCATCAAAAAGCAACATGTCACGGAATCAGTTAATATGCTACATGTAAATAGAGCCAAACAGTATAAATTGGCTAAACAAACAGGTCTAATACAATCAAACATGACATGGCTCAGTGGTGAGAGTACTCCACCAACTCAAAGGTCACAAGTTTGATTCCCGCTTAATAATAAAATAACAATATAGTGCCTACGTAGAACTAACACTTGACAGCCACTTTTCAAGATCCCCAAGGACATAAGGAGACAACCATGAACAAACGAGATAAGAAGTGATAGAAAGGCTGTTTTAAAGAAGGCCCTGTATTTTGGGGCCTTGTGTCCTTAGGCAAGACACTTCACATTGCCTAGTATGAAAGAGGTGTGTGCATGAGAGTGAATAATGACTACAGTGAGGCTTGAACAAGGAACAATAATCACAATTTCACAACTTTGTTCATTAGTCATTCACTCCACACTCAGTAGTGGAAAGTTACTATTGTAGCCACAGCTGCCCAGGGACAGACCGACAAAAGTGAGGCTGCCAGTCTGCGCCATCAGCCCCTCCAACTACCACCAACATTCACACACACACACTTTAATACAAACCAATGTGAGTGAAGTGCCTTGCCTAAGGACACAACGACCCACTGACCAATGGCGCCCCCCTGTGGCACTTGTAAGTAAATCACATTACACATGTAAGACATTATTTCCAATCCAATCACAAATGTCAACTACATTATTCACTCACACTCAGCAGTGCCCCACCATAACTCTGCTCCCATGTAGGCCTATGATTGACCCTGTAGGCCTAACATAAATGACACTGTTGGCCTAACATAAATGACCCTATAGGCCTAACATGACGAACTTGTGTTGAAGTCTATTTTCAAATAATTATTTATCTTAATTAATTATCTTAACTCCTATTAAGAATAGTGCGTGGATACAGTTAAAGTGCTTATGACAGGTTAGAGGCACCTACTTTAATCAAACATAATTAATCATTATATTTAAGTTTTTATTTTATTTTATTTTTATTTTAGTGAAGTTTATAATTTTATTTCCTGGTTGGACACCCTTGTTACCTAGCAACCATAATGTAAACAAGAGCTAAAACTTGTCTAAATTACACAACAGCTGATTAATGTAGCCTAAATGACAACGCCTTTATTTTGTCATATGATGGTTTGCGCGATCAGAAAAAAAAGCCTTCCTGTTTTGGTGTTGATGACATAGCCTAGGTAGAGGAGCAATTTCAATTTTGGAACTCACCACCACTTCCTGTATTTTTGTAGGCTACTTTTCCTTCTTAAATTTTCTCACAAACTGCCACTTAACTGATGTAAAATCTAATAAATTTTGACCACAGGCCCTATACCGTCATACCAAGTCAGACTTAGAAAACTATGAATATGCACTTTATACACTTCTACTCACTGCATTTTTGTCTGTTTGTGGTTTTCAGATTCTAAAGTTGTGATGTCATACTCACAGATGTGTCACAGAGTTTTTTCTACTCATTACATTATACTTTCCAAAGAAATGGGCCTATTCAAACGATCAGTCTACAAATGTTGAACTTAAACAATCCTATGAATGGCTGTATCTAAGAACTGACTTTATTATAACCAGAACCAGTATTTTAAACGGCCTATTTAACACTGTTTTCTGATCTGTGTTGTTTATAATGTGGTTTCCTCATCACAAACCGATCTGGAGTTGTGTTGTGCTTCATTCACACATGTTTAACACAAAAACTCTGCACATTTAGGCAAAATTCTTCTCTCAATCTGAAAACACTCCTAAAACCACCTTGTGATGTTATGTGATAATGTGATAATGGGCCTACAGGAAGTGCACCACTGTGTTTTTCAACCCCACACACCTTCACTAGAATTATACATATATATATTACCATAGAATATTGTTTTATGTGTGAGCATTCCGCACGTTTGCGCAGTGTCCGCTGTTTACAGGGAGGGGGCAGTAGCGCGAGCAGCAGCTCGTTTAGCCTGAGTCCCGCGGAGCACGGAGCTAAGTGTGATCCGTGCACAGCCTCCTCAGCCTCACAGCCTCTACACAGTCTCTGCTCCAGGGAAACAAAACCTTTCGGCTCTGGGTTTGGACGCGCGCCGCGAGTATAGAGCCTGCTCGAGCCAAAGCGCGTAAGTACCGGGGCTGAAGCGGTTCCGTGGCTGCTGATCGTGGAGCTCTGTGGCGGTTCGGAGCCACCGCCGCGGCGTGACTGTTTCCCTTTTGTTTAGCGCTAAGGGCCCTCTGTTTGGAACTTGAAGGGGGGCCATGTTGTTTAGTTTGGATGATGTTTTAGCTCACTACTTGGCAACCGCGGCTAGCAAACCAATTACTGCGTCAGCGTCGGCTTTCTTTTTAGATGTGAGCTGAGTGTTCGCGGTCCGTTTGTCCGGGGAGCAGGAGTACAGCACACACGGTACCACCGGAGCACACAATGCCGTTTATCTGAAGTGTAGCTCGGGCTGGCCAGCGTAAACACATCGGCCTGCAGCAATTAGCCCCTGATGCTAGTATCAATTACAGACGGTGTGACATTAGCACATGTAGCTTGTGCAGATCGCCGGATTGCTTTGAAGAATATCCATGTTTTAAAGCCCGTAACCCCACAGGGAAATGCGCCTGTTTCCCATTGAGAGCGCGTAATGACAGTGCTACTGTAACTAAACGCTCCGGTACAGCTCTGGCAGGGGCTCCTGTAGCTTTGTTAGCCGGCTACAATGCTCGCTGTTCGGGGCTACATATTTGCAAACATTTGCGTGTAAACGAGCCTAATGAATCGCACAGATCCACACTGGATGTTTTCACGCGAGCATTGTGGTATTGGTCGCCTCAGAAGGGCTGACAGTATCGGGCTGCTGGTAAATTAGCATCGGCTAGCCTCTCGAGCTAACAGCAGCTTTGTTGTTGACTAGCATCCTGGAGTCACTTGTTTGGTTTGGGCTGTTTAGTGACCACTGCTCTCCTGAACATGACACTTAAACACTGAACTGAGAATAATAATAATATAATAATAATAACCATGTAAAGGCCATGTAAAACACACACACAATGGATTCTTGAGAGCTTCAAGCCATGTTATAATGTTATCTACTCAAAAACATGAGGTTGTGTTTTGTTTGGGTAATGCTGCATTATTAGTCCGTCCACATCTTCAAAGTTCAGAATGCTCTTGTGATGTCATGAAGGGGTAGTTTTCAAGTTAACCACTGCCTCTTACCTAGTTCAGTAGCAATCGAAAATTCCAGGCCTGAAATGATCCATTTGAGTCTGTTGAAGGTGTATGGACTTAAAAAACACAGAGGAGCACTTCCTCTACCACATGATGTGAGTGTTTTCAGAGAGAAGAGCTCAGCCTAAATCTGCAGGGACTGTGTGTTAAACATGTGTGAATGAAACAAAACACAATTCCAAATTTGTGATGAGTTATGCTGATTATAACATAGATCAGAAAATAGTGTCATATGGGGCATTTTTAATTTTAATTTGCATCCATGCTCTTGGAGGTAAAACATAAAAACTTTCTGCTTGAAGTATATAGGCTATCTGCTGTAAATATGGATCAGCTTCTGTGTGTGTGTCAATAATGAAACCATAGGCTTAAGTTATTACAGTTATGTGCACTTTTTTAAGGTACAGTGTGTCGTCAAGTACAAGTGGCACGTCATCTGCATCATTCCATGAAAATAGAAAGTTAAAATCATTTGACATCCTCTATGGAGATACATTCTTTTTTTTGCTGTACTGTGGAAAAGGAGCAATATTGCCATGGAAACACGCAGGACGTAGCCCTCCTCCAGGCCAAATAAGAGTTAGGTTTGTGGAGATGCAAGCCCGCTCATAATAAAGATGCATGTAGTTCAGTGCAATAAACACCACAAAACTGGAGGTAAAATCGCATATTTTAGTCTTTACATAATGTGGCTTTTGAATCTGCTTGCCATTTACACCTACTTAATTTGCACCAACTTTCTTATGACAAAATATGGATTTACAATTCCTGTGATCAGGATCAATCACTCTTTTTCAACCATCTGCAAAATCCAATCATCTGTTCAGAACCTCGAAGCTATAGAACCACTCCAAGCTCTATTCATGTGTCTGGTGGTTAACTTAAAGGTACACTATGTGACCTTTCTAGTGGAGGGTCTGCTACCTGCGTGCAATGTTATTGCTTTGTCTGGAATGTTGCACAGTATAGCTTTAAACTTGTCTACCTAGCATTCCTTCAATTACAGGTGTTTTCACTGCTCAATAATAATAATTTTAAAAAAAGCATTCTTACCTCCCCACAGATCTGACCTGTTACTAAGATTTGTGGCGCAGTTTCCTTCTTCGTAGATTTTTAGGGGTAATGCTATACTGTGGGACATTTCAGGGTTCCAGGGAAAGCAGAAATATCACTTAGGGAACAAGTAGATGTTGTAGAGCAACTCTCCCCAGCTTTTCACAGCAGTACCACCAAAGAAAAGACTTCCATTTCTGAGTACTAGAGCCCGACCGATATGGATTTTGTTGTGGCCGATATGAAACCGATATAATGGGAGTTGGAGCTGCCAATAGCCAATATAATCGCCAATATATTTAGTGATGTAAAAATTCACCGTAAATCTTGAATTGTTTAAAAAACTTAGATTTGTCTCTAGTGGATTCTAAATTGGGTTTATTTAGGCAACATTTATTGTTATTCTGACTCTACGTCATATTTACATACAGTAGATTGGCCTAATGGCAGTTTTGCATCACATTCTAGCTACTA